CCGCCCCTGCGACTGGACGATTCAGCTGCGTGTTGTGAGGAAGGTAGACAAAAATCAGTATTGTTCGAGCAAGGCCAGATTCAGTGTTGTGTAGGAGCTGGTCCCGAGAGCACCAGTGTTTTGTAGCACAAGGCTAAAGTGTTCCACAGACGCCGGGCACCAGGGTTCCATAAGCCCGAGGCACCTGTGTTCCATGCGACCAACTCAGTCATGGGCCCCTATATAGGCACTATAGTAGCCTAAGCAACGCTGGGGTCTTATAATTTTTGTTAATTGGCACAGTGGTTTAATGATTTCCAAAATCGAAGATTTAAGGAAAGAAGCAGACTGTGATCTCTTCAAAAGCAATCAGGTTTCGGTAGGCCCTACGCACAGTGAAACGGTGTATCATTCTTACGGTTATAGTTGAGGTGGAGATGGAACATTTTTATCCGAAAGACGTATTTCTTTCATCTGTAAAGAATCCAGCCCAATCAGCCACTTGAAACTTATGTAATACTTGCGCTTTTAATTTCTTCAACAAATTGAAAAAAAAAGTGATTTGTGGTAGGGTTGCAGAGAAGAAAATTGTCAGAGAAGGTTTCGGTCCCGATGATTTCTTGAGACCTAAAAGCACTCTGTCTGGTTTTATTGCAGCATCAAAATGGTGGACGAAATGCCAATGTCCCGTCAGTCAGCGGATCTCTTTCCCTTGTAACTGGTGCCCGAGACGGAGCCGAGGTAGTGGGTCCGGTGACTGCTCAGTCGCCAGCCACGGGCCTGCCAGTCATCCCCAGTCAGCCCAAGTGCATCTACAGCACCAGGATTGCCGACGAGGCGCCGACAGCGCCCCAGCAGCAGAGTTACTATCAACCGCTGATTTTCGACAAGGGCGACGCCGGGGGTTCATCATCCTCATCCGCAGCGACGGCAGCCGTACCCCTGGCCGGTCCTTCTGGAGGGGGTGCCGGGCGGCCGAGCCTTGGTCCCTCGCCCGAACAGTCGGTTACGGAATGTCCGAGGGTGTTAACCGCTGACGCTGACGACAAGACTTACGAGAACATAAAGTAGCCTTCATTCGGCAAGAACTAGTGCACCATTTCAAAAGTGTTACATGTGTAGTTTAAAAACACAAAGTGTCGTTACTATTATTGAACTCCTTGTTATGAAACCAAGGAAGCCTGAAGAAACCTGTAGAGAGGAGACAGTAAGAAGCAGCTACAGTTTGCGAGGTGGGAGGAAAACCCCACAGAAGAAATTTCTGGGTGAAACCCACAGAATCAGCTATTGGGACTGAAAACCCATTCCACATCCAGGCGGGCCGAGCTGGGAATCGAACGCGGACCGCAAGGTGTGTAAGGCACCATTGTGCCAACCTATTACTCCCCGATGTCTTTGAGTCTCTCCCGCTTCATCTTTCCTGGCCTTTCTTCCTTCGTCGTTAAGACTGTTGGTGGAAAGGTCAATAAGTTCAAATAACAGCTAAAGATTTGGCATTCTTTTCATATCAATGATAGAAATGCCGGTCTTGACTCATCCCATGATTACTGAAAATTTGGATTACTTTTATTTAGTCTCATGTGCAGATACTCCTTTGTAAAGTTTGCAGTTTCTAAACTGTCTTAATCATATGGCCGAAAGAAATGTTCAGTTAATTCGTAATTTCCAATCGTAACGATCTTATTAAAGATCGAGGAGTTCAAGTTCATAGATGACTGAAACTGTTTAATTAATTAAGCGCCCTCTGTTGTTAGGCCCTGGAATACCATGTAATGTGTGTTCCAATGTGGCCGCAGTCTGAGAGTGATGTGTTAAAGTAACATTGGAGATTTTACCTTATTATAACAATGACATTCAACAACTTCAGCTAGTGCCGTTCGAGTCTAGTTGTATTGTGCGCACTAATTGTTGAAAAGAAATTGACCAGTGGTCAAAATAAAGTTCGCACCTGAACTTACCCAATGTGATGACTTTGGGCGCTTTGTCCTAGCAACTAGTCTCACTGAATTTGGCCAATTGTGGATATGTACTGTTAGTTGTATGCAGAGGTTTGTTCTGTATCATTTTTAAGTATGACAACAATTAAACCAGATCAGACTAGACAAGGCCAGACCAGACGAAACCAGACCAGACCAGAACAAACCGGACCAGACCAAACTGGACCAGACCCAAACCAGCCCAGATCAGACAAGAACAACGCAACACCCCCCCCTCAAAAACTAACACTCCATCTTAGATCTGTTTTCATAGCTCGGTAGTTCAGGAGATCGTATTGGAAGCCAAAGATTAACGGCGGGATCCCTTCAAAGACTATCTTGATTACAGTTTGACGTCGCTTTTTTTCCTCCAAAATATATCTATAGATCCTTTGCGTCTGATACTTGGTAACTGTTCCTTTTATAACATGACAAGGAACCATCGAAAAACGTGGAGTTCAGTCCCTCTATTAGGAAGAATTGAAACTGAACTTTTTACTCTGCATGCAGCATAGAGGGTGCGATTCAATTTTTGCCAGATTGTGAAATGCAAAAAGGAAAAGACTGGGTTATGTCATGTGTCTATAGCAGAAACGTTTATAGAGAGAGAGTTATGGCATGAATGTCTCATGTGATGGAACCAAAATGGTGGATAATGCGTCGGTGAACATAGACAATTAGGACACAATAGCTGCATGCTGTACAGCACACATAATGAACAGCCATTTTCGTCCAAAGGTCTGCAGATGGCACTACGTATAGCGCCATCCCGCGGTGCTCCTTTGAAATTGTCAGCACCACTGATTATTCTACCGTGATGTTACAGAACGTCAAAGTGCACAGCACGCCACCGCTGTTTCCGTCTGTGTTAAACAGGGAACACCGGTTGTG